CCCACAACAAGGAGCTGAGAGCTTCCAAGTCCAGCCCACTAAATTGGCTCAATCGAGACGGTTGTGATAACTGAGCGGCCAGCTCAAATAGGCGTAGTCGAGAGGCTCTGAAGTAATAAGAAGAGGAGTAAACGAAGCCAGATGGACCCTGGCCGTACGTAGCAGCCCACGCTTCTGACGAGGACCAGACCGCCTCTGGCTCCGGTTGGGGCGTAGTGTCATCAGCCCAACCACTTTCGATGTGGAACTAATATACGAACATCAGCAGGTTGAGGCATCATCGTCAATGACTCCTGCTACATTAAGGCCATATGCTATAGCATAGTAGACATATATGCTTCGCTCCGCCGATTTTGATTTCATTTTCAATTGTCGTTGCGAGGCCTCTATAAAGTACCTTCAGCCCACACTTCCAACAACTACCCCAAAGTGATGATGACCACTACTCGCTGTCCCAGACACCCGATATTGCTATAGCCACCAGCACATCGGGGTCATCTACTGCTGTCCCAGTCGAGCAGAGTCGTGAGAAACTAACACCGATAGCAGACAACTACTACATACCCTACTACAGCGTCAAATTACACTTTTTTCTTCTCAATGCTAGTGTCCTTACACCGCAACATCGCCTTGGCCAGCTCGCACAGACTGGCAGAATCACATCTAAGGAAGATGAGGTTGCCACTATGAAGATTCAAAGGAGGCCCGTACTTGGACAGGTCGAAGTCATTGGCTGCGAACTCGAACAGTTTCCTAGACTTCGTCGTGGCTTCCGCAGAGAGTGAGAGGTCATGTAGAGAGCGACAGAGCACCTGCGAGGACGACTTTAACAGAGGCAACTGCACTTCACCATCCATCTTACGTCAGCGCGCAACTCGCGCTTCATCTTAGCGTAGTTGTAGGTACTCATATACTGGCACATTGACTCTAGCAGGTCCGGCCTGATAACAACAACTACTCGTGATAGGAATTCATAGACTTAGGCCTTGATCCCTGTGATACCACGGTCATCACGACTACGACAGAACGAGTGAGCATCTTCCACCCCAGAATGCCCCTCGAGAGACACTTTTACCAAACTTCCACAGATGACCCTACTTCTGCGTTCCAACTGCATACAGCATCGCCACCATATCATTAACCTCAAAGGTACTCATTCGCTCTGGTATATAGTCCATACAGAAAGCCTTGGCCAGCCCGTATCCGCCACCAAATGCTCCTAAGAGCTCCGACACCTAAACACTGTAGTATTACACCTTCACAGAACAACCTAAGACCACCAACCTCTTTGGGGGAAAAGAGTAGTATGTCCCTACGCAATACTTCCTCAGCGATAGCTTCTGCCAGGTTGTCAGCTGCTGGCCCTCTTTCTAGGGTAGTTTGAGGGGCAGCCGAGGGCCGACGGAGAATCTGTCGAACCGAATTGGTGATGGTGACGGCGATGAGTGTACTCACACTAGAGGCCATTTGGCTGAGTTCAGAGGTTTTCATATCGCTGAGCTGCCCAACACCTTCCTTAGTCAACCGCTCGAGCAAGGCAGTTGCTCCTACACCGACATTATGTCCGAACGGTAGAGCACCCGTCTATCTTTCGGAAGGACGATGGTTCAATCCCTGCTCGTATTACTACCAGGCATCCCCTGTCCAGGCGCTGCAGTTATAGTAGTCAGCGAGTCCAATGCCAATGAGAAGTATCTACTACCACCTCCCGTGTAGACTGTCACGTCTCGTGTCACCCTTCCTACCTGCTGCTCCCCGGCATGCTGGCAACAACGTCGGCTGCTTGAGCGAACATCTAAAGACATCAAATTCGGACAGAATACCCCCACTTTCTACCAACGATTACCTCGCAGACCTTCGGGGATGTATCCCTAGCTGCTCGGCAGAGGACCAAGAAAGCCGACAGGGATGAGTTCAAATCCTCGTGAGTGAATCCACCCTGCCATTTTCGTTGGCCCTGAAAATGCAACAACAACTACTCCTACTACTCCAACGCGAGGCCACCACATGCACTCACCAATTCATCTGCTATCAAACTCAAAAGGTCATCACTGACTACTTCTGGTGTCCGAGCCAACAAGGAAAGATACTCCGATAGATTCTTCGCTGTGAGGTCCATCAGCCTCTCAGGAAGGCAAGTGGCCAGCAGAGCCTAGGGACAGACGATATGCAGCATCGAGGGCGACCAGCAGTATTACGAAGGGCTGGTCGATATTGAGAACACTGAAGGCCTTGAAAACTGTGATGAGATACTCACTCGACCACGTGGATACCTCCCCTAGGAAGCTGGCTGAGCCGTCTGCATAGGAGGCTTACTACGACACAGGTGGAGGAAAGGGCGTTATTATTACCAACAACAGCGGTGGTAAAGTGAATGAACGGGGCTGAGTCCACCCAGTCCTCTCCAGTGTTATTACTACTACTGTTACTTTTGAACTTGGCCAGCACTATGACCTGTGAGGGGTAGCAGTGGTACGATTAGGGAAAGGCGTGGTATGACCTCAGCAGCCATCAATCTCCCACTGTTCTGGAAGTGGACCTTGTTGTGGTCATAAAGGCTAAGGGCTTCCTCCGGGGTTCCTGAGTGGTGTCATCGGTCAACTTAGTAAAATTTCGACACATCACGACGCTGACAAAGTGAATTCCAAATTCAACATTGAAGTTTCACCCTAGTGAGATGAAATGCACTAGTGAAAGACATATTTCATATTTCACTTCGCAATAAAAATAACGCGTAAAACACGTGATATGGGGAGATCTGGCGGCCGTACTCTTCAAGTGTTTTCAATTCACTTCATATCCGCGTTTTTCACATGGAGTATTACACAACTTCACGTAAAACGGGTGAAACTCCACTGAAAATTTTGATAATTTTTTAACAATAAAGTCGCTGTACTCATCCCATCAGATTCCACTCAGGGGAAGTGACTACACCAACCTTTATGAGAGGTAGGTGCCGACTCCCTAGTGGAGGGCCGCCAGAATCCCAACCATACTGCTATTATATAGAGCATTACGCCCCCATATTAGTACCAGTTCTATCGAGCTCGTTGCACAGGATGTCAACATCCTCTTCTGCTACCATGAGAGGCCCTCTAGGGTCTGTCCTAGTCGGTGATGCCATTGAAACTGCGAATAGGGAGGACGAGATGAAAATGCAAAACAAAATCTACTTTTCGGCGGAGCGATGCAAAAATTGAATCATCACCGCGGCGTCTTTCTCCCCGCATCTTCCTTTTTAACATGAGTTTTGAGTCTCTTCCCAAACTGCTAGTCCCCAGCGCCGTGGCGGGCTTGGCGATGGCTCATGCTCTGCTCGCTGAGAAGAGGGAAAGGAGTGGTATGGAAATAGTCTACACATTTATTGTAATAGTAGGATGAACAATTCAACCAACCCTCAACTGAGCGTTTAGGTTTCCCTACTACTGTGTCTGCTCTCTTCCACTACTATCACGAGGGTTTTCTCATTACCACTGCGAAGGCGACAGCTGCGAAAGCTGAAGTCAGATATGTGTTGTCATGTAGATGGTTTGAACGACGAAGTCAGGGAGAGTTCGGTCATCGAGGGTAGTAAAGGCCCTACCACGTAATGTCAATCACCATCACTGCAGAGGACTGGCCTTCCTCCTCCTCCTCTTCTACTGCGGAGCCGATGTGGAAGCCTCTCACAGAGGTTCGAACGAGGGAAGTGCACCAGTGCATCCTAGACTGCTGTGAAGCTGATGCTCACACAGTGGGGTCTCAACGGTTGAAGGAATCGTCTGCTTATGCTTTCAAGGCTTCTGGTGAGTAGTATTACATTATAGTGTGTCTAGGGTTGAACTCAGGTAAGATGGCCAGGAGCCGCGTGGTCTTGCTGATGGCCGATGTAGCTGCTGAAGTGCCCCCCTCATTGAGTAGGAGGAAGGACAGTCGAATCACTGCGGCTAAGCAGAGCCTTCTAGCTGAGGTTAGATGGTCGTGGTGATAGCTGTAAAGCCGAAGTTATGGTAGGTCATTGAATGCGAACACAACGCTTCCCTACTCCATGACGATGTGGTGGACGAGGCTGCGACAAGACGAGGGTTGGAAAGTCACTGTTGGTGGGCCTGATCTGCATCTTCCCTCCCGGGCAGGAAAAGTATCTTTCAGTCTATATGGAAATCAACAGGCGGTCTGGACTGGAGACTTCATCATTTCTGTCATGATCGGTTGCCTCAGTAAAATCAACGAGCCCAGAGTCACTGCTCGTATCGCCTCCAGCATGCAGAACCTCGTGAAAGGTGCCTACCGACCTGTCGGTGTTGTTCCGATTAGCTGCTGATCTCAGGTGAACTACTGCAAGTACAGCATAAGAAGCATCTACCATGTGTAGATGATGATGGTGATGCTCGAGTTGATATGGCGTCGTTGAAAAGAGACGAGGATGAGAGTACCACTACTACGAAGTGTAATATGTCTGCTTAGGAATATGCACTCTGAATTCTATTGGTGTTTCAGGTGGCTCCGACAGTGAATTGGATGAGAGGAGCAGTCCTCGGCGCACTACGAAGGTTACGCCCAGGTCGGAAACCACCCACATCTTATTCCTAGATCATTTTTTCAAGCATACGTAATTCATTCTGATATGGTGTAGTGGTAGAAAATCGGTCTGTCTCACACAAGGACGTCGGTTCGGAACCCACCGAGCTTGCTTTTCGATATCTGTGTCTTTTCAGCCTGCCAAGATCGCCATCGACATCGGTAACATCAAATCGGTTTTCTGCCATCGCC